CTTTGCCACCTGGAGCCCTGTCTTGATAAAAAGCAGCTGTCCAAAATCAACTGAGCTAAAGGTTGTGTCTGAAATATATTTATTTGGTCTCTGCTACATTAAGCAACGATTTCTAGAATGATCGTCACCGTGGTGATTTTAGGAATTTACAACTTCCAATTCTTTTTTGCCTTTGCTGTTAAATTGTATTTCAGTGCAGATGCTAATCACTTTTTAGGAAGCTCCGGAAGAAAGAAAAATACATAAAACCTTATAAAGTCTGTAAATAAATAACAGCAACGTAAACCTTACACACGCGCGCGCACACGCACACACACGCACACACACCCACTTTAAAGTGTCAAAAGATGTGCTGTATAAAAACAAACCCTGCCGTGTGGCGAGATCCGAGCCAACCGTCCATCAGGTCTCTCACAGCGAGGACACACACAACCGGGACGACCCCAGAGCCTCGGGGTCGCTCGCCCGTGTCATCAACGACGAGAAGGGCAACACCACCCAGTGCTCGAAGCACATCAGGGATTCCTCGGCCACTTCGCCCCCCGCCGGTCACCGCACGCGTGTGCTGCCCGCCAAGGGCAGTGGTGACGCGGTCTCGTCTGTGTCACGCTTTTCTGCCATTCCTGACGATACAGACGTGCCAAACTGATGCTACAAATTAGGTTGTTTTGTTTTGTCTTTTTCGTAAGGAGTTAGTTTAAAAGGAAACACAATCTGGTTTTACAAACACCGCCCCTCCCAGCTTCACCTGCTGCCCGGCGGCATGAAAGCGCGAGGAAGTGGCCATCAGGAGTGGACGGGACTGGTGTGAGACGGACTGACCCCTGGGTCCCCACGAGAGCGGAAAGCGAGTCCCATGAAGCAATCGCACAGGTATGGGAGAAACTGTTACTCCCCCCGCCCCCAACCCACCACACAGAACTTGCCCAGAACATTCTCTCAAACACAAAATGAGATCTAAGCTCTACTAAAATCACAGCCACAACAGGAGCTAGCTGCAGCAGCCGAGGTTTCTTCGGGGTGACGAGGTGGCCTTTACCGCACGTCAGACGTTTATCATTTAGCGTTCTGGAGGCTTCGAGTCAATGGAGGTCACCAGCAAACCATAATTTGCAACTAAGATCCAAACCACAAACAACCCGGAAGGGGTGTTTTGGCATAAACGTAACTGCAACCTAAGAACGGGCTGGGGGTACGCTCTCTACCCCGCTGGGCCTCGTACGCCACCCGACACCCCAAAGCCTTGGCTCCTTCAGCTAGCAAGAAATCACACACCATAGTATCTTCCATGATACTTGAGGAGGAAAATCCTAAGATAGAAAACACAGTATCGTGTAAGTCTCTAAAAGCACACCCTTGCGGTTCCTACTTCAAAGGTACATGAGATCTGACTGAATGAAGACCGTGGATGAGTCACTCATGCTTCCCTCCTGCCTTCAGGAAGGCACCGATCCATTGCAGGGGTAGGTGTCTATGTCCCAGTTCTTAGAGAACAAAGCCTAAAGGTCCCAAAGCTCAAGTCTCTGGAGAGCGGAAGTGGTTGCGGACACCGCGGTGCTAGGGTAACAGTGACCGGGCTGCAGCCAGCAGGACAGTAGCTGCAGTCAAGATGCGGAACGCAGGGCTACTCCTAGACAAGCACATGCACACCCATTCTGGATTTGACAACACAATCTAGTCTATTTCAAATAGCCAAGAATTTAACAGCTTGGAGGAAAAAAAAAAAAAAAAAGTTCAACAGGATAGCTGTCCTCAACTCTAAAATAAGCAAGAAGAGAAAGATAATTACTGATCTGAATCAGTTAATTGAAGAAGAACCCTAAGTTGTTGTTTTAGATTAACAGGCCTCACAAAAGGGTAATTTGCCATCACAGATCGTTTTCAAGAATTAATTTGCACTACGCTGCAGGTTTAGAGATGAGTTCGAGAAAAGAGCTCCTCTTCGCCAGGGTCCGCCCACTCGCCCCCACCGTCCGAGCCGGAGCCTTCCGAGCCAGAGCTGGCGCTGGAGGAGATCTTTCTGTGGAAGCCGTTGGGTTTTGCTCCGGCATTTCTCTCTCCTGCACACCTTGCTTCATAAACAGAAGACACCTGGGATGAAAGGAACAGTTTCAACAGATCAAAAGCCAGGTTTTTTTTCACAAGGGCTACGCGAAATACTCTTGACACAGAGATCAAGTAACAAGTCCATGGTTTTCTCGGGGAGAGTTACACACCATGAAGTTTCGCTGCTTCAAAGCAAAACCACCTCTCCTTCCTGATCTGTAAGGCGTCCAGAACCCTAACTCGGTATGTTCGGTCCCTGGGACAAAACGTTCTGTATGTCAGGGCTGCCCAGAAAACAGCAGTCTAAGTGCCGACCACGGGTGGGGACGAGGCTGGGCGCGGGGACCCCCGCCCTGCCGTGTCTCCCTGCCACGTGGGGAGAGCCCCCAGCAAGCAGACCAACCAACGTAACCACACGCTGCGGTACAAACCAGGCGACGTGGCCAACGGGGAAGGGGAGAAAGGACACACACAGACACTCCAGACAGGTGGGCAGGGAAAGAGCTCTTCCAAAGAGTCCTCAGCTGAGGTGGAAAAGTGAGCCCCGTAGGAGTAAGAGCGAGAGGTTGTCCGGGAGCCTGGCCTCAGACACGGAGTCCTACAAACCCCCTGTCGTGTGGGACAGTCCCCCCACCCCCCCACACACCAGGTGATCAGCACCTCTGTCCCCCAGGACACTAAATGCAAATGGCAGCCCTTCCCTAGTCACAGGAACGACCAGTGCCCACCCCCAACTCAGGCAGAGTGATCAGCAACAGCACCTTCCCTCCACAGCAACTAGTGATGGTCCCCGACCCCCGAGGTGACTACCAAGGCCTCCTTCCCTCCCCCCACAGTAGCCGGCAACGTGCCACCCCCCACCGGCCGCTTCCCCCCCTCCCCTCCCCCCCCCAGGTCACCTTAATTAGCAACATCCCCACCCCCATAGCAACCAGCTCGCCCCGTCACGGCAACCAGCGGCACCCCCTCCCCCCGGCCACGGGAACTAGCAGCCCCCCGGTCATACTTATGACACCCCCATTTCCAGTTGGGCAGCGCCACCCCTGGTTGGGCCCCTGAGGCGGAAGCAGAAAGACAGCTGCGTGGAAGGAGGGAGAAGGGAGGGTGCGAGGCCAGAGGCACGCGAGGGCAGAGCGCAGTGACAAGAGGCCACCGTGGTTAGGAGCGTGAGTCGCAGAGTCCCAGCAGAGGCTACGGCTCAGGTCTGCACTTGCGGCCAGACACGCGGTCCCCGGTCTGTGCGGAACAGCACAGTGGCGGCACCGGTCAGGCATCGCGAGGGCCAGCGAGGGGACACCCGACCCAGACGGGGCACGGGTGATGAGGCGGAAAGAGGTGCAACAGCTGACGGGTGGGGCGGGACGGCGTGTGCAGGTGACAGAGGCCGGACAGCGGCGGCTGAGCTTGGGTGCGGCAGGGCACCATTCGCTGAGGTGGGACAGACTGGTGGGGGGAGGCCCACAGGCCTGTGGGTGATTTGGGGGAAAGTCCTCGCAGGACCTGAGCTGACACGGAGAAGACAGACACGTTTCCTTCGGTTCATCGGCCTGCCTGCCGGGAGCTCGTAGAAACCCGACGCGGCCCGGTGCCGGGGCTGAGACCAGAGCGCCGCACTGGGCGTGTGGAGGGGACAGGAAGGTGGAGTCCGGCCACGGAGCCCAGCTCGAGGGCTCTGTGGTGGTGCCCACCCAAGGGCTCGTTGGGGAGCGACAGGTCCACCAACTGGTGGGCAGAAATGCCCGGGGCGGCGCTGGGAAGGACAGGCTGGGGGAGCGAAGGAGGGGCTGTGGGAAGCCTTGGAGGTAAGCAGACGAGGAGGGAGGCGATGCAGACGTGGGCTGAGGGCCACAGGGAGGAGGAAGGTCACACCCACAGAGCTGGGTGACCCGGGACAGTGGGCGGGCGGGCGGGAGCTCCCAGGGCTCTCAGGCTGTAGCCTGAGTGGCAGAGATGGGGGTGGGGTGGGGGGTGTGTGTGGCCGTTAGTAAGTTAGTAAGGAGGACAGTCCACTTACCCTATTAAAATCTAATGGACGCTCTTCGTTACTGGGCATGTCTTTACCATCTGGACACTCTTCTATACCATTCTCTCCCTTGGCATTTGTATAACATTCTTAATCATTTTGAATGGAGAAGGGAAAAGAGGGAGGGGGGGGAAATTTCATTAAGACATGGTTATGAAACATACATTCCTGTGTCATTTTTTGCTGACAAGTCAGATCAGTTAGGTCTACCAGCCCTTCGGCGAGTTGGACTAGTCACTAAGAGCAGACACGGTCACCACTGGCCAGCCAGGTGTGCACGAGCAAACTGCTACGCCCATTTAAAAATTCTGATAAACCGTTTATCGAGTGTTTGAAAAATAGGCTGGCATAACACACACGCCTGTCATCCCACCGTGAGACACCCGTTCAGCAAATACTCGCACCTGTAATGTGACAGGCCCTGGGAACACAGGACGAAGACCAACAAGGCCAAGCTCTCAAGAGCGTATGGAGCGGGAAGGGAGACCGACGACATACCGTGCGTGGTCACATGACAAACAAGCAGACAGGAGGAAGTGACGAGAGAGAGAGCAGCAGCCTTGTTCGCTCCCCCCAAGTCCACACCACGCTGAAGGGCGCCGTTACGGTATCTGGACAACAGGGAAGGGAAAAGCGGCTAGTGGTTTGGGTAGGTACGTGGCCCCCAGAAGGGGATGGATCTGGAGGCTACGATTAGAAGGAATCAGCAATCGTCGAGCGCAAAGCTTCTCAACGCTGGAGCTTTAAGCAGAGTCTGCCCAGGCCCCACGTGAAACCCCGACTGAGCCGCGCACTGGGCCAGGGTCCAGGCAGCAGCTGCGACAAGCCCCCCAGGTGGTTTTGACGCCCTCCTGTCTTTGTCTAGACCAGCCCCTGCACCCCTGCACAGACACAGTGCCGGCCTGACACAGACCCTGGCTTTGAATCCCTGTGTCCAAGTCCCCTAATGCCCCCAACCAAGCATCCGTTTCCCGCCGCCTGCGGTCCAGCTACGGGGCGTTCAAAGGCATGGCGCACTCCCCGTGCGTGAGACCAGGGACGACAGGGTCAGCGCTCCAGGACTGCTGTGCCCAAGGGACAGCCTTTCACCGAGGCCGCACCGGCCGCACCATGCTCCCCATGACCTCTAGCTCTCTCTGCTGTCTCAGGACCTCGAAGTTACCAGCTCGGGCTCTGGGACTAGACGGACGTCACAGCAGATCCCCCGTTCTGCCACACACCTATGATGTAACACGGCAGATCACTGTCCCTCTTTTGAGCCCCAGCTCCCGCATCTCTGACACGGGGTCCCCCCTCGCCCTCACGCAGTCCTGTGCGAGGTAAAGAGACGACGCGTGTGCAGCCCCAAATGTGGCACCGGCACTCAGTGACACCTTCTACCGCTGCTATGAACCCAGACCCGGGCTTATTCATCCCTTCTGGGCAGTCACCGGACCAAGTTCTCGCAGTCCCCACGCTCCACCCAGTTCGTTACCACGTGAACCAGGTGAGCCAGTGTATCAGGGAAGGTGACTAGTTCCTGGACTAGAAGACGTGCCCAGACAGCTGCATCCAACCCCGCCGCGATCCTTCCTGTCCTGCTTTAGGAATTCTGTACGTCCAAAAGGAGTCTGTGCTGAGCGCGGACGACGTTCCTCACAATCCTCACGTGGACGGTCCCCACGTTCTAGGCCAGGACCACGCACCAGTCCCACGCATGCGCACCACTCCTTGTAAGTATCCCCTCGGGGAGGCACGATCTGCAGCCTCCTTTTACAAACGATGGAGACACAGAAGGCCTGGTCACGGCCCAAAGGTCTGGCAATGGAAGCACTGGAGTCCTGCTCCGTTTTGTCTCCCGAGCCCGTTTTATCTCCACGGAGTCCCCGCACGGCCTTCTCTGTTAAGACTAAATAATACCCACACTTACAATGAGCCTTCCAAACATCTCAACTCCAGTGCGGGAGAGCTCTAGAGACCCCCATCCGGGAAGATCTGTCAGGACAGAGTGTGCAGGGCCCTGGTGCTCCGGCTCCTTGCTTCTGGCCGACCCCGTCCCCCACCGCACTCTCACACGGTTCCCCCTTGGCCGGGCCCCCCAGGCTATGCCGAATGCATCCAGCTCCCGCACCAGCCAGGGCTTCTCACGGGGCACCTCTCCCTGCAGGTAGCCCCAGCTGTCACACGGCTCGTGTCCCTGCCCTCTCCGGTCTCTGCACAGACATCCCCGCAATCAGGAGAGCAGGAAGGAGGGCCGTCTGCCTCTGCGTTCCCAGTGCCCGGCACGAGGGCGCGTAAGACATGCTTGCCGCGTGGTCGCGCGTGTGAACGCACGGCAAGGCCGGCAGGAGGCAGGGTGCGGGGCGTGGGCCTCCAGGCCAGACGGGCGCCCCCGCCGCAGGGCACCTGGTGCTGCCCTACTGTCGAAGGGCACGGCCCACGCTCCTTCCCATCGAGGCCGAAAGCTTCCAGATCAGCCCCTTAGAGCAGCACACGCTCATTATCAATCATCGGCCACGCTGGAAGCTTCAGGGGCAGAGAGGAAGGCGGAGGCTGCCTGGTTTCCTGGCTGACCGGCTCCCGAGACTGCACGCCCCCGCCCCCACCCCCACCCCCACAGGCCGACAGAAGGCGGCTGTGGCGCCACCATCAGCACAAGGCAACTGTGCAGGGATTTAATGCAGTTGTGAGTGGAAGGTCATTCAAAAGCCTGGTGAACGTTACTCATCCACTGAGAATTTCTGTATTTGCCACCTCACAATTAAAAAAGCATCACACACTGACCATCCCTTATGGCACCTACCTGGGACTGTACTGGTCACCAAGGACCCACAGCTGAGAGTCGGGACAGACTCCCTACCAACACATGAAACTAGACTAAAGCTGTGCAGACGGCCCTTGACACACTAACAAAAGCACGAACTCGGTGTCTGAAAAATCACCCTAACCTCCCAGAGGGATTGGTCTTCCTAGACCCCTGGCCCTGCCTGCTGCCACATCCCTCTCTCCCTCTGGCACTTTCTGGGTGGTCCTCTCACTGCCCTACTCTGGGCACTCAGCCTCCCTTACCTGTATTCCTGTTAACTCATCTCTGACTTAACACTCACCCGGTGCAGCACGATGGACATACGCCAAGGCCAGATTTGTGCTCCCATCACCCTGGCGCCCCCCTGGGCACCGAGTACAGACAGCTACTACAGAGAACGAAGCTTCTGGACCACAGGAAGACAGCCTGGACGCAAGCCTGAGCTCGATGGCTAATATGCATGATTCGGACAAAGTACCAAACCTGAATCTTAGAGCTTCCTCATCTGAAAACTTCGGCTGACATCTCACAAGGCTATTGTGGGGCCTACGTATAAGAAAAGATTGAGAGCACCTGGTAAATAATAAAAGGGGACCTAGATATTAGCTAATGCTAAGGCAACAGGCCTTTAATAAATGCGGTTAGGTAAACAAAGATGCTAAAACTGAGGCCCTCGCCCTACACTTTGGGACCCAGCGAGCCTCTGGGAAGGAGGAAGGCGAGTTTTGGGGGAGGCGATTTGAGGCTCACAGAATAGAGAGAAGCAACCACCCCGCCTCCCGCCCGGGCGGAGAGGCCGAGCTGCAAAGGGAGGCCAGCGCAGGCGTTCTGAGCGCCGGAGTGCGCGAGGCCTGGTGGCCAGTGAGGGGTGTCACTGGCTCCACGTTCGTTACAAAACAACTGGAGACGTGACAGACCTGCAGACGTATAAATGCTAACGGACGGTTTACGTGCTCCTTCCAGCTCTAACAGGGGAGACCAGACGCTGCAGCCGACAGGAGCCCCCGAGACAGGAGCCCAGAGTCTGCCTCGCCCACCCCCTGGAGCGAGCCCACGGCCTTCACAGTCCTCACCTCGCCCCGGACTTCAGGTCAGGACTTTCTATAGCTTCTGGGCATGCTCACCCGAGAAGCCCACAGACCAAATGTGCTGCTGCCCCAATGTCCCCCACTGCCAGCCCCCTCCAGCCCCACCCTGCTGCTCAGCCCTCACAGACTCACTTCACCGAGCCCCGGCCTCCTCTCCGAAACCTCTCCTTGCCACTCCCCCATCTACTCCCCCAGCAGCGCCTGAGGCCAGGCACTGACCCTGTCACTCGCAGACCCCTGCAGGAGCCTAGAGCCCCAGTCGGTACCTTCGGCTTTTCAACTGCTCCTCAATTCCCTCTCCGCTCTGCTGATAGAATTGTTTTATTTTTTTTTTTAATATTTTTTTTTTCAACGTTTATTTATTTTTTGGGACAGAGAGAGACAGAGCATGAACGGGGGAGGGGCAGAGAGAGAGGGAGACACAGAATCGGAAACAGGCTCCAGGCTCCGAGCCATCAGCCCAGAGCCCGACGCGGGGCTCGAACTCACGGACCGCGAGATCGTGACCTGGCTGAAGTCGGACGCTTAACCGACTGCGCCACCCAGGCGCCCCTCTGCTGATAGAATTGTTTTAAAACACACACCTGGGGGCACCTGGGTGACTCACTCGGTTAAGTGGCAGACTCTCGGTTTCGGCTCAGGCCATGATCTCACAGTTTCGTGAGTTCACGCCGCGCATCGGGCTCCGTGCTGACGGTGTGGAGCCTGCTTGGGTCTCTCTTTCTCTGCGTCCCTCCCCCACTCTCTCAAAATTAATAAATCAAAAAAAAATTTTTTTAAATAATAAAACACACCTCTGCCGAGATACCCTCCAATTCGCAATCTTTTAAACAACCTTCCCTTCCTGCAGGTTAAACCTGACCTAATTCGGCAGAGCTCCCAAACCTCCCGATGGGCTCCTTCCCTGTCTGCCTCTCCAGCCTCAGCTTACAACCCAGCTGGGCCCGATGGGTCCCTGTTCCCTCCACCTGCCAGAGATCCTCTTGCCCCAGCATAGGCGGTTCTCTTTCACGGGCTCTGCCCTTGCCCGGCTTCCCCATCTGGGCGTCTTCCTGAAGATCCCCCCATAGCTGATGATTTCTGCCCCACGATTCACTGGGATCCTGCCCAGATGCGGTCAAAGGTCGGTCCTGCTTTTAGGTATCCGAATGCCTTTCCCCACATCAGGCTAAGGGCAGGCTGTAGTTCTCATCTCTGTGTCTCCAGTGTCTCACAAATGCTGGCTACACGAAAGCCTCTTGGTAAATGTTTTCTGGACTGATACTCATAGTGGAAGAATTGCTCGTAACGAATTAGAAATCTGAACGAAAGAATCAATGACCTACCTTCACACTCTGACGCAGGAAAAAGAGGAGAGTACAAGGCTTTTTCCCACCAAGTCTGTTTTTCTTGACTTCTATTCATTCCTTGAACATCAGTGTTCAATACAGGAAACTGTTGAGGTTAAACGAACACAGAAAAAAGTTTACAAGCTTTCAGGATAAAAGAGAAAATTCAAGCATTATTAACTATGAACTATAAATCCAGGATTTTTAAAAGATGACTATTTTTTTTTTGAAGTAGGCTTCATGTGTCTGACTTCAGCTCAGGTCATGATCTTGCGGTCCGTGAGTTCGAGCCCCGCGTCGGGCTCTGTGCTGACAGCTCAGAGCCCAGAGCCTGTTTCAGATTCTGTGTCTCCCTCTCTCTGACCCTCCCCCGTTCATGCTCTGTCTCTGTCTCTCTCTCAAAAATAAATAAATGTTAAAAAAAAAAAAAAAAAAATTCAAGTAGGCTTCATGCCCAGCACAGAGCACAATGTGGAGCCTGAACTCACGACCCTGAGATCGAGACCTGAGCTGAGATCAAGAGTTGGACGCTTAACTGACTTGAGCCACCCAGACACCCCAAACTAACATTTGTTTTTGTGTTTTTAATACTATTCTAGACAAGGTGAATTTATTTATTTTAAAGATTCTATTTTTAAGTAATCTCTACAACCATTGTGGGTCTTGAACCCAAGCGCCCCAACAAGGTGAATTTGAAAAGCCAAAGTGTTCGTAGCACATAAAAGAAGTTTTTCTTAAGAAGCATTTATATTGGAAGTGGAATGAAAATCTTTTTAGAGACACAACAAAAACTCTTACGAGGCAGAATATTCCCCATAAACTTATATCCCCAGGTAAGGCAAATTTCTGTATTTTGGAAATGCAGAGAAGTAACAGGGCGGTCCCAAGTCTCCACTGGTGTGCAGTGCTCTGGAGAAAAGGGAGGACCCTCTTCTTCACGCGCGCGGGCAGGAGGGAGTTGAAGACGATGCGGGACAGAAACGGTACAGGCAGAGTTACCAACCTAAATGTCTTTGTAACTAAAGCATCTGCTTTGCTGAGACCAGAGGACGGTGAAACTAAATCCAAATAAAGGACTGTGAATATTGCACGCGTCTTTACTGTTTTAGAGAATGTTTTGTTATTGTTATGTGTTCAAGGTTGAAACCTGAGCTATTTTAGCAACCAATGACCATCAATCCTGACAGGATTCTGTTACTCTCTTACATATAAGTTGTTTTATGGGTCTAAGACTTTTTGATTCAATAATGGATTTTTTATTATTTACCTAACGGGAAACACCGCCAAGTCTCATTTTTCGCTTAACCTCGCGAAACACTCTTAAATGAGAAACTGAAGAACCCAGCGAGGCCAGCGAACCTTCACTAAGTTCTCCCCCAGCTTACTCCAACGCTAGCGGTCAGTACGACTACTTACTAGGCAGAACTCACAGGGGTAGCCTCACGCACATGAAGCCAGCAATAGCCAAGGTCTACAGCGTTCAAGATAATTAACTGTATCCAGCACATTAATTCACAGAACCCTAAGATCTTTCTGGAAGGGTCTTGCCTTCGCTCCAAGGCACACCTACTCTATGCCAGATGGCAGCTCAGTGCTACCTGGGAGCAACACAGTCGCCCTCACCCCCAGAGCACCACTGAAAGCAGACGGATTTGGAGGCAACAAGTTCCTACCTGCAAAAGAAAATGTCCCAGGCAGCGGTGGAGGGATCGGTGTTGACTCGCGCAAGGGCAGCTGTATGGCTCACCGTGAAACCCTGTCTCGAGACCGCGGGGGTGGGGGCCAGGTTAAGAAAAGGAGAAAGAACTCATCGCGGACGGTGGGAGGCAGCTGGAGAGCAAGCCGGAGGGGCCGGCATGAATGGAGAGGAGGCTGGACTAGACTGGAGCAGGACAGGCAGTGAGCTTCTTACGGGCAGGGCCCATGTCTCACGGATCTGTGCACCTCCGGGCACAAGGCACACTCAAAGCAGACACTCGATGCCTGCTGGCCTGAAGAAAAGGCGCCACCTGCATGCAGGTCCCTGATCATCTGGTGTGCCATCCTCTGCCTCCTCACGCCGCCCCCCCCCAGGCTGAAACCACTGTTAAAGTCACCCCAGTTTCTGCTATGCTTTTAGGATGTTTTCTGCCTCCTCCCCTGAATGTCAATCAAAGGCACAGGCTCCTTTGTGCCGTTCCATGCTACACCGAACACACATCCGATGAACCTGTACTATCTTACGACCTCTTTCCACTCCGCTATCTACAGCTTCTGGGTTGGTCAGCAAAGATGACCATGCTCTGCATAAATAACGTCCACTGTATGCACGGATTCAACTTCTGGTTGGCGGAGAACGGACGAAGGGAAAGCAGGCGAGAACACAGCTGGGACGGGCCGGGCGCCTCTGCCGTAGCTCCGCTCTGCCTCTCCCCCAGACGGCTTCTCATCTGCAAGCCTGTCTTCAAATCACACCTTGGCTGAGAGCCGGCCCCGAGCACCTACTTCTTGGCAAGTCCTCCAGGCACCCCGACGTGCCCTCTCCCTGGCGCAGGCACACCAGCGAACACTATAATCAGTCACATGCTGTCGGTGAATGTCACCGGCAAGGGCAGGGCTCCGTGCGTGTCCCCAGCACCCAGCCCGGCGCCTGGACAGAGTGGGCTCCCGAGAAATATTCAATGAATGAAGGAAACAGTGCAACAACAGAGAAGACATGTACTTGGGCCAAAAAGCCTGACCAGAAACGTTTCTGGCACCAGATGGGACACTCAAATTCCACTCTTTAGGAGCCAGAAGCTGGGTAGAGGCCCCACCCAGAACTCTCACTGAGCTCCTGGGCCCGGGAGAACAAAGGTGACTGGTGGTCCTGAGGCTACTCCGGGAAGAGTACTGTGGCCCCCCAGCCACAGTCAGCCCTCAGGTGTCCGGGTCACGAGAGGAAAGGAAAGCGAATGTAAACGGAGGGACGCGGAGGGACGCGGAGCGTGCACAGAGAACGGGTTCCCCGTTACTGACGGCAAGTGGCAGTCAGCAGGAACCACTCGGGCTCCGTCCCGGACCCTGGGGTCAGTGGCACAGGTGGGCCGGGTGCCATGCCCCAAGGGCCAAGGACGCCGCCCCCCCCCCCCCCCCCCCCCCCCCCCCCCCCCCCCCCCCCCCCCCCCGCCCCCAACCCGTTCATCAGAGCCTCTGACCGCCAGGCGTCCTCTCCTGGCCGGACCACAGACTCCTGGAGACGGCTCGACCCTCTGCTGTTTCTCCGCGCTGCAAAGAGCACGGCACCAAGTTGGCGACCGAGTGAACAACAAGGAGAACATTTACACCACAAACTTAGGCACAAACGGACACCCAAGGCACGCTCCGCTGCTCCTCACCTCCGTCCTGTACTTGAGGAGCCACGAACTAACTGCTGGCAGGTGCTCTACGCACGCGAGAAACTCCAAGCCTTTTCACCTTTGCTTGCGCTGTCCGTTCTGCCCCGAGCGCCCTGCTCCTTTCCCTGCTGCCCTGGGACACTCAGGGGTGTTCAGATAGCCTCTGGGACCCTCGTGCCGGGAGGGCTCTGCTCTGGGCTCCCACGGCATCCTGTGCTCACCTCCGCCACACCACCTACCGTGTGACCTACAATTACATTCGCCCCAATGCCCTGAAAGATAAGGAACCGGCTACGTAAATCACAGCACATCTGTCCACACACTGGAACCGAAAAGGAAAGGCGATTATAATAAAATGCCATTTCTGTGAAAAGAAAAAAAGAAAGAAAAAATCTATGCGAATGTGTATTTGCTTCTACGTGCCTAAATATCCTGGAAGGACGTACCAGAACACATGCTCATGGCTGCTGGGGAGGGACCTGTTCACTGTGTGTATCCACCCTCCTGTACCTTCGGAGTTTGAGCCCTATGACTAAAGTGCCTATTTCAATTAAAATAATCCGCTTACAAACTGGTCTTCGTAACAAGACTGAATTCTTCAAGGGCAAGGATGATGTCCTGTTCATCCAGGACATCTACCTTAGCGATGAGCATGTAACAGGTATTCAAAACATGTTTGCTGAAACTGACTGAACTGAACTTTTGAAAAGAATCCACGCTCCTGGGCACCAATGCTATTAGAATTTCTACATTTTAAGTTTTTTGTTTTATTTTGTCATTTCCAAGGAAACTCTGCACCCAACCCAAGGGGCTTGAACTCACCATCACCACCCTGAGATCAAAAGTCGATGCTCTGCCACTGAACAAGCCAGGTACCCCTAGAATTCCTACACGTTAGTAGTCCACCCGCTCTGAAAAGGCGGCCTTTGAACAGTGACCTTTACAACGGGGCTCCCAGACTGCCCCCTCTCGGGAAAGGGGGGGAAGACGACCCTCGTAGGGACTCCCCTAGACTGACCAGGCAGTGTGATGGTGGAAAGGTATACACTCTGCTCCAAGCCTGGCCCCGTGCTGTCCTGTCAGACCCTCTCCCAACCTCCCCATACCTCAGATCAATCTATGATGGGAGCTCTGACCCCGCTCTACAGCCTAGCACACCTCTGCCCAGGGGCCGGGCCGAGAGCCGCGGCTGCAGGGAGACCAGCAGACAACCCCGCAAGGCCCTCTGAGGACTTTACTAGAGGCCTTCCAAGACAACCCAGAATGCTGATAACACATAAATCCATCAACATACTAGAAAACGAAGGAATATGGCAGTGGTATGATGTAGAATCTCGCTTCTTCCCTCTTTTTCTTTCTTCCCAATCTGGAACCAGGTGAAATACAAAGTACATAAAGGAAAATTCGAGGATAAAAAGAGGGGCAATAAACAGACAGATAAAGGCTAACGACATTATTGGTTTTCTTTCTTGGCAGCTCGGATTTCAACGTTTCAATGCGATTCAGTTCACACCTACAGGTCTCTGGGCAAGCCAACCAGAGTAGTGACTCTCTGTGGGGCTTCCTCCCATCACGAGCAACCACGTCCCACCTAGGCACTGACCCCGCAAGGGAGGAAGGCAGAGTCTACATCCGTAAGGAGCTTATAACCTAACAAGAAAAAGTACATACATGACTCACGAAAAATGGGAAATGTGGGGCGCCTGGGTGGCTCAGTCGGTTAACTGTCCAACTCGGGGTCAGGTCACAATCTCATGGCTCGGGAGTTCGAGCCCTGCGCTGGGCTCCATGCTGACAGCCCAGAGCCTGGAGCCTGCCTCCGATTCTGTCTTCTCTTGCTCTGCCCCTCCCCTGCTCACACTCTGTCTCTGTCTCTCTCTCAAAAATAAGCAAGCATTAAAAAAAAGAAACAAAAAAAAGGAAAATGCAATAGAAAAAGAGGCACAGGGTGCATGAGAAGTAAGAGAAGGGAGAAATTACTTCCGATGCTGGTGGGGGTGGAGAAAGAGAGGGAAGGAATCAGGGAGCGGGTCAAAAGGCGGTGGGGTCTGGAGAGCCTCTTGGTACAGGGGGGTACAGGTAGGATTTAGACACAGGAGAGGTGGATGGAGCGGGCACGGGGACAGATGCCAGGTAGGACGTCTAGTGGCTCTCTGGCCACTCGCGGCAGGACTTGTAAACACCTCCAACTATCTTTTTAATAAGCTGCTCCTGGAAAAAGGCCAGGCACGGCCAAATAACGGTTGGGGAACAGGCAGATCACTGTGCTTTGTTGTGAAACAGGTTATTACCTCAAGGGTGATTTCTAGCGCACTCAATTGAACCTCGAACCACTTCTCAGAAACAAAGGGGATTGTGACTCCCATTCACAAAACGACTACTACTAATGAACCTCGTCTGACAGACTCAACACGCAATCCACACAGCCCGAGGAGTATGTTACTTGGTACAAAGCGAGGAACATCATCGCGGTTCTGCGGAAGCCCTTCGGCCACATCTGGACCGTGGGCTAGTTTTCACGCGTACCACAATCCACGCGAGAGCACTCGACATAGACGTGGTTTATTTTACGTGTGACACTAAGTTTCAAACCGATCAGCCTCTCGGAGGCCCTCGGGCGGGCGGGCTCGCTCGCTTGCTCGCTCGCTACTTAAAGAAACCGTCCGCTTCGGCTTCCAAAGGGCAAAGGGCCTTCTGCAGAGTTCGGAGCCACTTCCCGATCCATCACCTTCCCAGTCTGGAACGCTTGAGGATGAGGTTCTGCCTGACGCACGGTACGTGCAGGTCAAGACAACACTCGAGAAGCTCCTATCCTGTGATTTAAAAATGTCTTTCCTCTGCAGAAGACGTCTCCCGTCTGGCTCAAATTTATAGACATCAAATCCACTTTAAGTCCTTCTGTAAAGTCATGAGAACGTAAGTTTTAAGACATCTAAGCTGATTTCCCAGTAACTGAACCCTATCCTTCGCCGCCCGATACGGCCGTTCTCACACTCAAGTCCAATGCACAGCTTTCATCACGTACCAACACACGCACACACCTACCTCTCCCAGCTGTCCCGAAGAAACCGGATTATCTTCATAAGCAGGAAACTGACAACCTGCTTTGCAACTGCAAAAATTATTAATCTCTTCCTCGCATGGCGCCATTATTTTGCAATTTGCTTCTGAGCTTTCTAAAGCAATTTCCGGAGATTCATTCATGCTACACTCCAAACACCGATTCCGCTTCCCCGCCGGCAGAATCCCGGCTGATTCCTCCTGAGAATCCAGCGATGTCTGAGCGCTCTTTTCCATGCCAGACTTTTTTAACCTGGGGAGGAATTTTCCAGACTCGAGCTCCGATTTTCCATAGTAATGGCCTTCTTTCTCCGCGTCTTCTTCCAGCGGCTGGAGATCTGCCTGTGGATCTTCAAACGCATCGGCTTGAGAAGGAAGGGGAATATTTGCTTCCTCTTTCTCAGATTCAAATTCCGACTCACTTCCTCCTCCTGGGGACAGCTCGGACGCAGAAATGGGGCGGAAGTGAGTCCTCGGAGAGATCCGAATAGCCCTGTACTGCGTTCTGTCGACGCCACATATCCTGGGGTGAAAAACTTCGCCGTCCGAATCAGAGCACAGGATGGATTTCGGCTTAAAACTGGGGCTGAAAGAGGCGATCCCTTCGGGTTCGAATGAACACTCCACGTGAAGGACTTGTGAGAACGGATTGCTTAAGTCAAAGGAAGACAAGGAATATTCAAGCCCAGGATCCTCAACCTGCAAGTTGCCACAAGCTCCTAGTAAGTCTTCATGGAAGATAAAAGAAAATCCCTTATTTAATCCATTTTCCCCACTCCTCGGCGGATCGTTCTGCTCAAACGACACGAAGGGTTTCCACAACTGCCTGTGACCGGGAGCGAAACTGTTTCCCGGGGTCATGAAGACATCCGTACCTGCTATGGTCACCACGTCAGAGGCCGCGCACTGCAGCAGGCTTCCTTTCGTGGGAGCGGGCGGGACGACCGCCCACTCCCCGTCACTGCTGAAGGTCTTGAGTTCTCCGTAAACTCCTCCGAGAATGAAGGTGTTCTCTTTGTCCTGGGCCACGTCCCAAGGTTTCGAGGGTGTCGTGTAGTCGCCACCGTCCACCTTCGACAGCTCCCCGGACGCGAAAGCTCTCTTCTCCGGGCTCTCCTTCTGGCCCTCCCACAGACGGTACTCCGACCTCTGCACAGCCTTGCTGGGCTCCCGGAGGGTCTCCGCCTCGGCCTCGGCGTCCAGGCGGCAGCAGTAGTTGTTGACATCCGTCGGGAACAACTCCTCGTCCGTTCGCTCCACGTCCGCCGTAGCGACAGAACCCCCGTCTGCCATCTGTGTCCAAATGTCTTTAATGACCCCTGAGCTGTAACCGCCTCCACGTGGACCGCTCTCGCCACAGCCTCGCGCAGTTTCCAAGGTCTTGGGTTCCGTCTTTTGTTCCAGCTGAATACCGCAGACAGATTCTAGCTTCGATGTTTGTTTGAAGACTAAGGTGGGAATCTCTCCCAACGTTCTACTGTTTTGCTGGCAAGCTTCGTCTTGCAGGAAATCTAGAAGTTCTTCATCTACATAATTTGACGAGACTCTAGGAACCACATAATTCATATCTTCTGCGTTAAACTGCGTGGACTCTTCAAACTGAATATTTAACGTCTCGTTGTCCGAACGCGTCTCTTCCGAATGGGACCATGGGCTACAAGTTCTCGTTGAGAGATTAGAACAGTGTTCGTTTTCTTCAAAGGCACTATTTTTGGTCCATATTAGCAATCTAGACTGTGTTTTCCCAAGCATATTAGCACTAGAATCTGTATTTTCATTCCCCAAGTTGAGTGTTTCAAAAGAAAACGGTAAAACAGAATTACTGCATTGCACTTCAAACACTGAAAAACAAGAGTTTATACCAGATCCTTCATTAATATCTGAAAAGAGCTCCTGATTGCCAGCAAGCAAATGTGGATTGAGCGCCGTGCTGTCCAAGATCGGGGAGAGTCTGATTGGAGAATCCCCCCCAAAACTCTCCCCGTCGGCATCGCCCGAGCTGGATGAACAGCACTCCCAGAACTGAGCCAGATTGCCGAGGTCTTGCAGGAATAAGCCCTCGGCGCCCACGGAGCTGGTAGAATCTGTCCATATTGCACGTTCCCCTTGCAACTCCATTCCATCTAACACTATGCAACATTCTGCCTCAAAATCGGTTTTCTCTTGGCTTTTTTGTCGAATCATATTCAAAATCCGACTTTCTCCTTGCGTGGTTTCTGAGGCACCAGGATCCAACATGGATTGATCAATGTCCACTTCATAGAAGTGTGTTAATTCTGACAGATGAATACCATCCAGATATTTGTTGTCCTCCGGGAGAGGACAGAACGAGGTCCCAGTGAGGTCAACATCCTCATCGATGACCGCAGGCATTTCTACAAAATGACCATCAATGAAAGTACCTGCTGCGAGGTATGTTTTATGCATATTATTGTTGCTGATACAAAGACCGTGCACGGACTCTGACAACTCGTCCACCGCCTCCGACGGCAGGTCGCTCGCATCCGGTCTGTTTCGGTAGGTGGTCTCTAGCTTGCTTTTCCTGCTCAGAGGAACGAAATACTCGGCAATCGGCTCCGTGTACCACAGCGGCTCCTCCTTGTATTCCCTGTCGTTTCTGCTCTCCGGGGACAGGTCTCTTCCCTCGGCGCTCCCGGGGTCTCTCCTCCCCGGGTCCTTCAGGGGCCTCTTCCCGCGCCGGCACAGCGGCTTGACGGAGCCGCCGCCACCACCGCTGCCGCCGCTGCTGCTGCCGGCGGCGTGGACGGCCCGCTCGGCCTTGTCGCCGGGCTTCAGCGACAGCCTGCCCGGCCCGTTCCGCCCTTTCTTGTTCCGAACTTCTCGCGTCTTGTGTCGGACTTTCACGCACTTCACGGAGGCTTTTAGTTCTCCCCGAGGACCGCTCGAACTTGAGCCCGCTTCACTCGAGCCGGAGGACCACGAGCGAGGGCGAATCCGTCCCTCAGGTTTGTGTCGGACCTGCTTTTTGTACAGGGCGGGCTTCTCTTCCGTGGCGCCGTGCCCAAACCTGTCCTCCTTCCCGCTTCTGCTCTTGCTCTGGGCTCTCTCGTGTGCAGTGCCCGCCTCGCGGCTTCTCTCCTTGCTCGCTTCACCTTCGCTGTTGCAGTCTTTGGGGGAGGACGTGTCTGTGCTGGCGGGGGGCGCCGTGGACGACGACGAAGAGCTGGAGTAAGAACAGACTTTAGACCTGTTCCACACGGTCATGATCTCCTGCAGGCAGACCGGCTTCTCGGACAGCGGTGGGAACGCTTCGTAGTACCTGAAACACAGAGGGAAGGCTTCAAGGCGGGCACTCAGACGTACGAGACACAGCAGGCGACATCGCCTCCCGTTTTAACAGCCACCACTGACGTCACCCACGAACCATGAACTTTAAAGCCAAAAACGAGCGACACAGAGAAACACGCCTTACGTTTAGTCCCGTGTCTTGAGCAACTTTATGTTCAGCACGGACACGAGCCCTCGAAGGATATTTAGAATATTGGGAAGAGGACGGTTTTCGTCCTTAAGGTCTTAACTGAGAAGTCACAAAGGACAAATACAATGCAGTGGCAAGCAAGTCATCTCTTGGTAAGAAATAGCTGCATCTGAGTCTCCGCTCACGTGACTTACTACGCTGGTGACTTGAAGCTCGTTATCTGCGGTCCGTCCCGTCCGCATTCTCAGCCGTACAAGGGCGGCCACGGGACTTCTCTCCCGAGGCCCTTTGGAGCACGGGGAGGGGAGGAATTTGAAAGCCGGAGCGCACGAGCTCTGAAGCCACGCTCCCCGACTGGGAACCTTGACGCTGCCCTGACTAGCTGTGTGACCTCAGGCATGTGACAGAACGTCTCCGCGGCCTAGGAAACACACGTAATACTTTTAACTGCCTCACAGAGCTGTGAGGAGCAAAGGAATTAATGTACGAGAGGAGCGGGAATATTATGGGACTGTTGTCACCGTTACATTTTCTCAGGACCCATGCCCGGCATTAAGTCAGACACGGCACGGATGAGGAAGGGTACCCGGGTGTTCGGGCAAGAGGATGCTGGTGCGGCCCAGAACCATTAGGAAAAGCGGACCACAGCAGAGCCCTGACGTTCCAGAAACGTCGCAGTCTGGGGAGTACCACTCGTGAGGCACAGGAACCTGTGTGCACACGAAACCCGAGGAGGCCAGCGACCCCTGGAAATGCAGGGTAGGTAGAGCCACGGAGCCTGCTTCTACAGGGCCTGAAAACAAGGAAGACGACTTTCCAATCTGCCAAGAAGCCGGTAGTCCCGGCAAATCTCAGAACAAGACGGACTGCCAAAGCAAGAATCTAGAGTCGGGTTGCCTACCAAGGGCACCGTACTCTGGAGGCAACAGTCAAGGTCACATGTGAGGTGACAAAAGGCCATGTTTTCGAAGGGCCTATGTTTGATTCTCCTTTCCAGTCTCTACCAGAGCTGTCTAATGGGAATACATCGTGAACCTCACAGAGAATTTTCAACCTCCTAGGAGTCACATTAAAAGTGCAAGAAAACACAGGTGAAAGGGAATCCGATGATGTAGTTTACTTAACCAAATATATCCACAACATCATCCTTGCAACATATAGTTGATATTTGAAAATATTAATGTAATATTTTACATTCCTTTTTATACCAAATTTGGAATCTCGTGAGAGTTCTATATTTACAGCACATCTCAATTTGAAGTGGCCACATTTCAAGTGCTAAACAGCCACACGTGACTTACGGCGGCCACACTGGACAGCAAGCACCTGTCCACATCAACCAATAAAAGCTATTTTCACCTAAAGTTCTACAAGTTGGTAAGATTCAAATAAACTGTACAATAAGCAAGTTCTGCTTATAAAGCAGCTGATTTTACCGGCCATCTACAAACAAAGGACTCAGAGCACCTTCAGGAAACAAGCTTGACAAGGTCAATGACTCGCCCACACTTCTTTGTACGCAGCCGTGGAAGCCCGCTTTCCCTGTGTGCAGAACAAGGGCGAGCCCGCTTTCTCACAGCCGTCTCCGGGGACTGGTGTGACAGCACACTGGGTGCACAGTCAGTAACAACCGTGTTTCATTCGCTCACCCAGTTCCCAAATCCTGATTCAGTACGTATGACAAGGACAGGACCGTCTCATTCACCTCTGAATCCTCAGTGTCACGCACACAGTAAGTGCTCAACACATGTTTCCTGGATTATAAAATGGGAGACTGAATACAAGACAACGAACAAAACCGGTAAAGCACACAGCAGTTATTAGTCGGATTTTTAACCATGCACATTTTGTTAATGAATACAATCTTACATACATTTCCACTTGATCCTTTGCTGTAGGGGATAATTCTGCCTCTGGAGAGGGAGACCCCTCTAACTTTTTGTGAATCTTCTCTTCTGTTATGAAACAAAAATTCAGAAAGATTGGTCTCATATCTAGTTAACAAATGATTTTTTTTTTTTTTTTTTAAGTTTCTCAAGGAACTTTAGTCGGAAATCATATAGGCTTAGTGGCTTGGAAAGAACTCTATACCCATTTGCCTTCTTGTTCAATAAAGATCTACTTCTTCACAGCACCAGAGGGAATTCTCTGGCTTCACCATACCGATGGGGGGCTGAGGGGTGAGAGCTGTTCGCCTCGTCACTGACACAGGGCTCTAGAGGCACCTGACTGACAGACTGACGTCCCCTATTAATTACAGCAGAAGGAGAGAGACCATCTGTTTAATTCCAATCTGTTTAATTATTTTCTCGCGAAATTCCCCACTCATGGACTTTGTACTGACTCCTCTCAACCGATACGAATCTGTTAAGAAAATCCATTACGATCAGCTCTCTTACAACATCTCTGAGCAAGGGCTGTGTTTCAACAAAACTGAAGCAAAGGGCTATCCTCTCAGCTTAGCTCACGGTACCTACTGCCTTAGGTTAAAAACAAACAAACTGTGCCCTTAGAAGGAAGGCTCAAGGGTCACTGGGCAGCAAAATGGCCATGAAGAGGGCAAGAAAAACAAAGACCCTTAACTTTAACACATAGCTTTCACTCCAAGGGCTTGCAGAAAAGTTGGCCCAAGAAGCCGTGAGGATTCACGAGTCGAAAAGACTTTAACGAGCTTCAAAGACTGCCCTTCCAAAAAACCTCCAAGAGTCAAGGCAGAAATTCCTGTCAAATCTGAAATAATCACTGTCAACACCCTCGGAGGCCTTGATGTCAACGGGCAGATATTCACGGGGGACAAGGATGGGAAGGAGGAAATATCGCTCCCGATCCCGATCCCTGGGTTTTGATGTGAACATGACACCAAACATCCCTCCATCGTGAGGGCGCCCGTGGATTAAGTGACTCCGCTGAGAGCAGGGACCTATCGACAGGGGACCGCTAAGGGTGACCCAGAAGCCACTAAGAGCTGAAGACACAGCATGACGCTGCCATGGAGACACACTGAACACAAAGACTTTCTTCTTCTTGTCTGTCTCTGGCCGATCCTAGGGTGTCCTCAACCATCTCCCTTGGCGCCCGCGGCCCTGGTGCGAACGGCCCGCTGTGTGCAGGGCGCAAACAGCCTACTGTGTGCAGGCCCTCCAGGGGCTACGCTCACCTTGCTTGCTCTGCAGGTCTTTCAGTCTGGAGCAGAGCTCCTCCACCAGAGTCTCGATGCCAGAGCTCTGTGCGAGAACAAAACACACATTAGTTTACTGCCAGGTGTATACAAACTCAGGTGTCTGCACACACTTGCTTTCACATAAAGGTCTTGCAAACCTTCCACGTTCCAAATGAAATGCGTTATCGATACGTAAACAACACAAGAGTTGAAAAGCTACAGGTTTGCTGATCCAATTTAGTACACATATTTTACTAGTAAAGTATATTCAACGGCACCTGCTGATGAAATGTGAAAGTATGAATGTACCGCCCAGAATGGCTGGTCTTCCCAGGGGTATGGCATGTCACCCACGGTGCAGCCTACGGACCTGAACACTCATCGTATGGCCAACGGTCACCATCAAAAACAATATTCGATATCTGCGTGAGGAAATCTCGTACCGGACTCAGTACAAAGAGGGGGAAAAAAGTCACAAACATCGCGTGCGGCTCCTCTGGGAGCTCATGGTCTAGAGAAAACAAGGCAACTGTGTTCTTTTCTCCAGTGAACACTGACGACTGCAACAAGAAAGCACTCAGAGCCACGGCCCTGAGCGAGTGTGAGAGCTTTGTCTTCTCTTAAAGGTCACGAGCAGGGCACGGAAGAGCCTGAAACTGGGAGGGGAACAAGAAGAGCCAAAGCTCCCGGAGGGACAGATGCTGGAAACACGCACAAACAAATGATCGTTGGCTACGAAGACTTTGAAACTTGAAAGTTTTTCTATTTCTCACAGGAAGCAAGAAAAGTCCTTCACAGAGTATGAAAAGGGAAGACGAATTTCCGAGGACCTTTACTCAGTGGTCGAAGGTCCTATTTAAACCGGAACGGAGTCTCTCTCCGGTGGGTGCGATCCGGACAGGTGCACGGGACTCCGCTCCACCCGCCGCCCTCATGGGGCCTTGAGGGGCTAAAAATAGAACTGTTCCCCATTCACTGAACTCAAAATGACTCAGCACAAGTATTACAGACATCCTAAACAAGAAACCACACAGTTCCAGTCTGAACAGCAGGAAACAGCACAGTGAAAATGGTTAATTGTAGACGCTGCCAGTTACACTCTATCCCTGACATATCACAGCTTTTAGTAGGGACGCAGGACAGAGGGCGACAGGCAATGGGCCACAGAAGGGCTGTCCCTCCCTTAAAAACACCCCTAAGACCCGTGGCAAATGTTAGTCACAAACACTGCTCTGACCACATAATTCCATCAGGAAGACTCTGCTTACCATAACGTTCAAGGTGTGATGAATATGGCTGTTTTAGTCCATTTCCTCCAGACCACGAACCTAACACCGGTGTCAGCTGACCCGCTGCTCGCTGCACGCTGTTCTCTACAGCGAGCCTATGTCACTGTGTTTCTAAACCTAGCGCCAGTCTCCAGTGCCGAGGGCCGAGCCTCTCGGGATCACCATTCAACTTCGCTCAGGTCCCTGCAACGGCCGGCCATTTAATATTCTACACGGAACGATCCTCCTCACTAGTGACTACACAGTATTTCTTTTTTACGCTTTGTTTTGGAAATTACCTCCACACATCTGTGAAGGTTACTCGCTCTGGACAGTAAGGCAGCTTGAAGTATACGCATCTGCTGTCCTAGCCACGTGGCAACGAAACGGGGAGCTTACACCCAACGCGGCTACGAGCACGCTCCACCCCCCAGGCTCTGTCCTCTTTCCCCGACTACTGCAGCATCCTACTTAGGTGAAAAGTAATCATCAGATCGTTGGGCTAGGCCTGAAAACCGAGGAACAGAAAGGGCCACCAAAAGCAGCCTCGTCCCCGGTCGTCTCCTGGCAGGTACCGTTCAGTGTTCACCTGGAGCCGGTGGCGAGAAATTCTGCGTACTTTCCCAACTGTGATATAAGCCGTTAGATGTTTTACGAGTACACCACGTCCACGAGGGCACTCAAGGGTACTTGAGAGCCTGTGGTGTCCGAAGAAATAAAGTAAACGAGACCGGTTTTAGTGACGGCTGTAAGGGAGAACACGCTGTAGGTGCACAAGATGCTCCCGTTCCCGCCGAGCTCACACACTGCTGTTCCTAACTGCGCTGCCTACAGGTACGGCCCAGGATCCCAGGAGCGTGTTTGAAAGGGCCCCCCCCCGCACAGTAAGAGCAGCTAAAATTCAAGGACCGGAACTCCAAATCTGGAAGCTGGTGATGCACACGTGGGGGCTGGCAAGTTTCTGAATGCACGACCATTCACTGCTTTATCACTGGCTCAGTCAACGGTCATGAGCAGGGTCGGTCGACAGCACACCTGGGCTGGGCGTGACCCACGGACAGGCAGGACCCTGTCCTCCGGGGGTTTACACTGTAGTCCTGCTTCTCAGAAGAAATGGGCTCCCACGTCCCACCGGCCTGGGTCTGAATTCGCACCCCGCCACACGTGCACCGGGCAGCAGGGCCCATGTGCTGCTTTACCCGTGACCCTGAGACCACACTTTCCCCCTCAAGAGGCTCGAGGCCCAACGAGGATGACGTACATGTGAGGCCCCATCGGAATGCCCGTCACATCAGTCATCTAAACGTCGATGCCACTTCTAGATTTTGTTGATGGTTTTCATTTTCCAGAATGTCCCTATTGGATTCCCAATTTCTAAAATGCCTTTAAATTCTGCTCTGGGGGCACCTGGGTGGCTCAGTAGGTTAACGGTCCGACTTCGGCTCAGATCATGATCTCACGATCCATGAGTCTGAGCCCCGCATCGGGCTCTGTGCTGACAATTCGCAGCCTAGAGCCTGCTTCCAATTCTGCATCTCCCTCTCTCTCTCCGTCCCTCCTCTGCTTGTGCTCTCTCGAAAATAAATAAACATTAATAAATAAATAAATTTTGCTCTGATTGGAGTTTGAGGTTGGAGGAGTAAGAAAGATAATTAACCTGACCCAGAGAACCCCAAGTCCTCTGGATTCTGCCCGGGCAGGGGGCCCCCACACGGCCACGCCCTTTCACAGAAGCTCGGGGTGAAGCTAAAGGCCCGGGCTTTCCATGGAGACCCAGCCTCGGTCAGACTCTGCAGCTACTGTCCCGCTGCTTCCGGCAAATTCTCTCGTTGGTTCCCATCTTCAGGACGTCTCCGCCCTCTCCACACCAGCCATCCTCCTCATCGCCAACATAAAGGAAACACAGTCAGTCGCACACACTCCCCCACCTCGTTCTCTCTCCTCTCCACGTCCAGAGGTTTCTGTCGCCATTCTAACCAATTCAAAGGTTCGCCTTTTATGGACAGATGGTCTGAGCTGGGAATTTCCTAACTGCTGGACAGACACTCCCACCCCAGGCCTGCGGTCACTAACCAATGACACTCGGGGACCTCGAGCTGCCCGGTCCGCTCACGGTGGTGAGTGGGTGATGTGAGAGTCAAAACAGGTCTGGGTCTGAACACCATCCCAGGGCTCGCCCCGTGACGCTCCCTAAATCGTTCACCCGCCACAGACTCGCTTTCCACACCCGGAAAATGGTGTGGAAAATTCCGCGGGGGATTTCCTCCGCTCCACCTTCCAACCCTTGTGCTGAGCTTTTTCGTTTGTACTGTCACATTCAGAACGTGAGGAGGTCATCCAGTCCCCTCAATGTCTCTTCCTCACCCTCAAGGCTGCGGCAGCTGGACAGCGATTCGGACAATTCGCCGGCTTTCATTCACTCCTGCGTCTCCAGTAAGGTATCTCACACCCTCCCTCCCGGGAGCCCAGTGTCCCCTCCTGCCTCCATCCCCACCAGGATGGAAAAGTATAGCGCTCTGTGCCCCCGGGAACCGTGTCTGCAGGCACGCAGCCCCAGCGCCGGCCCCACCCACGGTGGGGCGCCAGCCAGGGCCCCCCACCCCTACCCTCTTGGAATGCTAACTCCTGGGCCCCCTGCACGTACAGACCTACGCTGGCCGTGCGGCCGTCACAGCCAGCCTCCCCGCCGAGAGGCCAGACAAGCGAGGAGAGCAGCCCGGATCTTCCGGTCCCAGGGCCACTGGACTGCAGCAGCGTGAGACCCCACACAAGACCAGCCACGGAAGAAGCTCCCAGCCGAGCCCTGGCTCACCCACACGACTGGGAGCAAGCCAGACGGCTAGCATAAGTCACCCAGCTGTGGGGTATTTTGTCATGCGGAAGCAACCCAGGTACAGACGGCCCGACACTCCTCTGCTCAGACCCACCCTGCGTGGGCACAGAGCTCTTTTTTACAATTTTTCAGACCTCGGGTTTTAATTTCTAAAGCAGAGTTGGAAGATTCGTGGGAGGAAACCCAACTAGGTACCGAGGCAGGATTACTGGTGACGATTCACTGTGAAGGACCACTTTCATTTTAAAAACCTTCTTAAAACTTAGAACGAAGTTAACGTTAAGCCAGTAAACAAAAGAGCACCAGGGGAGACAAGGGAGAACGCGCACCGGCGTTCACGAGCTCACGCCTTTGGCAGCCAGGGAAGTTAGAGGAACAGGTGAGGCGGTCGGGCATAGCGCAACAGGAAGTGGTGGGTGAGGCGTGAGCTGTGCGGAACCAACATCCCTGGCCTAAGATTTAAAAAACGTTAAAAACCCAAACAAATGAAAAGCTGCTTCTGCCACGGCACCTGCATGAGGGCTGTGATTCCCGCCCTCGACCACAGGAAGAGCTACAAAAATGTACCCGCTGGCTACCTCCAGCTCTCACGTACATCTGCTCTCTAGAATACGACGTGAGAGAAGAGACACAGCCACTGGATAAATATCGTCACATACCTGTCACGTGCGAGGGAGGACAGGATCTACATCTTCTTAGAACGATGGGCAAAAGACAGTTATTTGTCACAGAAAGTGGAGGATGTCAGCCTCTGTTGTAAGTAACGATCAAATAGATTAATCAAGCCTTAGAAAAAAGTTAACTGTGCTCTGTATCGTCTTTAGCGGGGCAATGGGACGCCAGGAGTGCGTGATCCGGGTGCGTCAGGCGCGCCGTCCCGTGTAAACGCCAGACAAGTCATTGGACTTCTCTGGGCCCCCATCTCACTGTCTACAAAGAAAGAACGCTTCAGCTGGAGCAAAG